TCAGCCTTAAAGAAGAAGGAAATCATGGCATTTGCAGGTAAATGGATAGAGTGGAGAATATCCTGCTAAGAGAAATAAGCTAAACCTAAAAAACCCAAAGGATCCAATGTTTTCTCCGAGAAGCCGATCTGATCCATAATGGAGTGGGCGGGGGGGGGTGCCGGGAGAATGCAGGCCCTTTGGATGGTGAGCGGGGAGTGATGCAGGGATGGAAGGCCGGTGGAATGAGGCAGACATGATCACCCTGTATACAGGTATGATCACACTCCTGGTGTGACTCTGCACCATGTTCAGCCAGAGGAAGGAGAAATTGTGCTGCGTTTCTGTGCATGTGTCAAAATGCATCTTACTGTCAGGTATAACTAATTAGCACGAATTAAAAGAAGAAAGAAAGAAAAGCTGAATGTGCACCCAGGGGCTTCCTGCACCACTGACAGGCAGGAGCCGGGGGGAACAGGAGTGAGTCAAGCCTGCAGGCCAGCAGGTAAGCTGACGGAAACCACCCTCTTCCCTATCGGGCTGCTATGAAGTGGCTGTGGGTGTCCCCACAGCAGGGGCTTCTGCAAGGGGTGGCCTACCCAGAGGAGGCTGCTATGTGAGGCCAAGCGTACTCCCACCCTCCTCGCCTCTCCCTATGGGGCCTGCCTGCCCTGTCCCTGGCCTCGCTCTCTCACCTGGAGACAGGTATTTAAAAGAGACTCTAAGACCCTTCCCACGCCTCCCAGAGCCCTGCTCAGGCTACAGAAAGAGCACCAAGCTTCTTACTCCTCGTGTAGAATTGCCATCCCAGGACCCCTCACAGTCACATCAGCCCCGCTGTGGAGGGCACGGGCCGCGAACCAGGCTCCACCCAGACTGCTGCTCCTGCAGGCCCCCTTCTTGCCTGGTCACAAGGCGGAACAGCACCCTGCCAGATGGGAGAATGGCCAGTGATGTCCTCTGATCGGAGTCCACGGAGTGTGCCCAACCTCTGCCCAGATGTGGAGAAGCCTGATGCTCCAAGTGGGCTCCATCATCTGCTGCGTTTACGTGACTGGAAGCAGCCTGGAGTCCAGAGCCGGATGGACACTGCTCCTCCCCTTCCCCAGAACAGTGGTGCTGAGAGGTCCCATGGACTTCCAACTGCAGTCTCTGCTGCCTCCTGCCGTGCGGGCAAGCCAGCTGGACGTGGGGTGGCTGCCAGGCTGAGGAGGAGGGGACTCTTCTGGCATGGACTCCCCGGGGAGCCTGCTTATGTTGTCCCAGATCCACTCCATCAGCAGGATACGGGTGCCACTAGCTACCGCCATGAGCCAGCCGCTGTGGCTCCTACGGGTCCTTCAGCCCTAGTGACTCTGTAGGGTCGGCCTCATCGTAACCACCCTCTGTGGCTGACGTGGACCTTAGGGGGCAGGACGACTTCCCAAGGCCACCCTACGATGCAGAAACAGGATTTGAAGCCAAATTTCCCTGACGTCAAAACTCAGGCTTTCTTTCCTGTAACCTCCACTAAGTGTCAGGCTGAAGAAAGAAAGAAGGCCTAGGCCCGCCCCAGTGGTCACCCCTCACTCCTGAGCTGGCCTGACACAGCGGTCATCATCTAGGAAGTCCAGGCGGGGAGCTGCTGCTGCCTGGACCCCCTCACCTGGGCAGGTCCAGTAAGTGGTGAGCAGAGGTTCAGGCCAGATGAGCCTCTCCCTGACTGTCCGACTGTGTCTTTGCAGCAACCCGGGTTCTCTTTCTCGAATGGCCCCTTCTAAGAGGCCAGCACGGCTAGAAGGCTGACACACCACGGCTCTCCCACCTCGATCCGCTGTGCTCTACGCCACACTCCAGTGGGCTGGGAAACAATGCAGGCATCTCATAACAGACTCTGGCTGTGAAGGAAACTGTGGGCGCAGGGGAGATGAACTCCAGGAGCCGCGGCTTCAGTCCAAATACGGGGTTTTGCCTTTTGCAAAATACGGGGTTTTGCCTTTCGGTTGGCGGTGTTGGGGGTGGAACCTGGGGTCCAGCGCATGCTAAGCCTGCACTCTACCATTGAGCTGCATCCAGCACGGGGAGAGTTTTGACAGAACTCAGACCTTTGATGCACACACCAGGTGCAGTGATGTCACCTGGAGACAGGTGTTTTAAAGAGACTCTAACACCCTTCAGAATGTTTTTTCCCCCCGGGAAGATCTGGATGTGCATTATGAATTAAATCACATTAGGGGACATTAGGAATATTTAGCAGTTATGTAGAAAATGTCATTGTTAGGTGCTGTTACCAAAACACTGAGGGTTGAAATGTCATCATACATGTCATTTATTTAAAAATATTTTGGCAGGAAACTAGATGAAGCAAATATGAGGAAACACTGACGTTAAACTCGAGTGATAGGTGTGCGGAACTCATCCTCCTGTTTTCCCAGCTTATCTGTGCGCTTACAAATTTGCATAATAAAAAGTGCAAAGAAAACAAAGCTTTCAGGAGCCCAGGCTCCATTGCAAAGGTGACATTGGGTTTTGTGGTAAACAGGGTTCTAAGGCCTGAGGATCCTCACCCCCCAGTATACACCCCCAGAATAACTCCCTCACCTGGAGCGTGGGCAAGACCTGGGGGTGAGGGCCATGAGATTGTCCTTCATGACGTGATTGTGTTACATGGCGAGGACAAGGGATTTTGCAGATGCACTTGGGGTCCCTGACCAGTTGATTTTGAGCTAGTCCCAGGGAGGTTGTCTAGTCAGGCGAGCTCTGACAAGGACAGATTGCAAGCAACCAAAGGCCCTCTCTTGCTGGCCTTCAAGAAGCAAACTGCCAGAGTGGACGGGGCTACCAGGTGGGCAACGGCAGCGGTCAGCAGGGAGGGCCTCAGTCTGCAACCACAGAGCTTAGAGGAAGACCCTGCGTGAGCCCCGTGAGCTGCAGGCCCAGGCCCCACCTCCATCTCAGCACTGGGAGAGCGGCCCACCACCAGGCAGCTGAGAACTGCTAACTCACACTCCCAGGGCGTGGAGACTGGGGCAGCACGTGCACACGGTTCCACACAAGCCCGTGATTTGTCCTGGAGCAGCAGCACACAAGCGCAAGGTCCAGCTCAGGAGCCGTCCCAATCGGTTAGAGATGGCAGCCTAGGGCTCTGTATCCCCAGGGACTCTCGGCTGGCCAGCCCCTTGCAGGCGAGAGCTGTGGCCGCTCAGCAAGGTCTGCGGGCATGGGGGCCACGGCCTGCCACTCCTGTTGCCAGGCACCGCTCCTGTGCGCTCGAGGAAGCTGGGGTTCACTGACTTTCAAAATGACAAAGTAACACTGAGGGTAATACCGCTTGGGTCCCCAGGCTGGACGGGGAAAACCTCAGAGACGAGACGGGGGAAGTTACTGAAGCAGATTTTGGACGTTGTCTGAAGCTGCGGCCTTGCTGGCTGCCTTGGCTGGTCTGGGCCTTCACCTGTTCTCTCTCTCCGCTGCCTTTAAACCCGCACAGGTCCTCCCTGAGCTGGGAAAATCTCCCCCTCAGGACATCACCCGACCTTGCCCCGACTTCTAGGACTCTAACACAGCTGGGCTCTTGACCCTTCCTCCCATGCTCAAGCCCAAGAGGTCACAACCTCGTTGCTCAGCCTTGACCTTGGACACAGGCCTGTTAATCTGAAAACCGCGCAGAGATAACAGCACAGTAGCCAATAACCGAAGCCACGTCTCCCCGTGAGGCAGGTGTCCCCCGCGAGTGTGTGTTGTGGAGTCCTGGCCACCTTCACGTCCACGCAGTTCCCAGCCACGCAGATCCCCCTCCCCACTCCCAGCAGCACCCCACCCTTCCTACAGCCACAGGGCAACCTCCCACAAAGCTGAAGGAAGATGCTGAGGAGTCACTCCCAGCATCTTCCACGATAATAAATAAAAACAAATGTGTTTCTGGGTGCAAAATATTTCCTCTCACCAGGGGTGCCGCCTGGAATCCAACCAGCCCCCTGCTCCTAAACCAGGGGACCATGACCGAGCCGCGCTCGCATTCCTGACCCACTCGGTCATCTTTATTTACTTCTGCACCAGGGGCTTCTAACTCACAAGAAGGACTTCCGACACGACTAGGCACACAAACTGCGCGGGTGGACCTCCAATGAGCGCGGCCGCTTGCTAACGGGTGGTCCTCGCACACCATTGCTTATTATGGCATTTATGACTGCAGGAATTCAACGCCAACATTTGAGCAAGAGGCTTTTCACTTTGAAAACCTGGCAAGCTGGACCTGCTGCTCTTGGAAACACTGGGATGGTGCTGAACGTCGGCCACGCTTTTCCCTTTACCACACTCCCCACCGCTCCCTGCCACCTCCTCCCGGTCATCATGGTCTCGTTGCTGTTTTCTCATGAGATGGAAGAAGACTACTCTCACCCCATGCAAGCAGGCCCCTCTTATTCTTTGCCAGAGGCAGGTCCCTCCAGAGGCTGAATTTGCTGACCCCTGAGATAAATAAAACTCTTCAGCCTCCGGGACCCTGACTTGTGGCTTGGCAGTGGGTAATGGCCTTGCATATATTTGGAGAGCTTTTTATTTTTCCCTCAGATTGCTTCTATGCCACAATCTCCTGTTAGGTTAGAGCTCCTGTCAGCAGGAACCGTCGCGAGAGCTTGGTCATTTAAGAAACATAGCATTGTGTCCTTTAAAGAAGGCAGGACTCTGACACTCCGATCTTGACCTCCACCCCGTCCAGCAGACCGAGCTGGACTCAGACCTCAAGGTGCCTCCTCACTGTAGCCCACAAAGGTTCCACTCAAAGTCCCCTCGACAGATGTGATATTTATTGGTATTTTTCTTCTAGATGGAGAAATAAAGAGAAAGGGCTCCCCGCCTGCCCCTCCAAACAAAGCGTCTCTGGTTACCCCTGATTAAGATAGGGCTGTGGGCAGGAAGCAGGAGGCCAGGGAAGAGGATGGAGAGCGAGGAGGGCCTTGGAGGCCCAAGGGGAGGGAGCTGGGGCCGTCGCCAGCGAGGCTGGAAGACAGGGAGGCGAGGCCTGGGGACCCGGGACTCACGGTTGAGCTGGCGCCTGCGGATCCTGTCCCTCCATGGCCTGCTTCGGATCCAGTGTAACCTCGAGGGCAGCACCATGGTCCCCAGGAGAGCAGGCCTAGGGCCTTCTCATGACAGGGCAGCCCAGGGCCTCTCAGCAATCCCGGAAGTCAGGTCCAGATGCATAAAAATTAAAAAGAGAAGAAAAACCACCTCTTCCTTTTTTTTTTTTATATCTGAGGTTTCCGTTGACTTCTTTTATCTGCAACCTGCCTCCCCTTTCCCTCCCTGCTGACCCAGAGGCCGCTGCCGCACCGAGCCGCCCAGGGCCGGCCTCTCCCGGCCTCCTGTGCCATGTTTTATGCATGAAGATGATGGGGCAGTAATTTATTCAGCAGAGAGGATCTGGGCTCCTGTGTCGGCCCCAGCGTCAGCAGAGCCGCGCGCAGTGGCTGGCAGGGTGGCCTGAAATGGGAATCCATCTCTGCAGGCAGGAGTGAGGGGCAGGGCTGCTGAGCCGCAAGGCAACACGGGTCGTGGGGTTTACGTGCCCGGGTCCCTGGTGCCCACAGGAGTGCCTGGCCACTTGCTGGTGGGCAGTAAGAATTGGTCAAACAAGTGAATGACTCACTGAAGCCAGCTCAGCGATGGTGTGTTCCTATGTCCTTCACACCGTGGGCTCTCTCCATTCTCTGTCTTCAAATAGGTGCATTCAAACTTCTGTGCCAGCCTTTTCTCCCACCCAAGAGCACTCTGCACCTCACTCACCCAGGCACCCTTCAGAGTGTCATTTTTCCATGAAGTCAGAGATGGCGCTGCCTGAGCCTGGGTGGTCCTCCTGCACACCCAGCTAGGTCAAGGCTTTTTCTTTTTCTCTGGTTTGTTTCAACAGGGAGCAAGCTTCTGAGGGCAAGAATTATGCATTCCTGTCACGTACAGCAAGTGACATCGAGGTGTGACTTGGGGCAGCCCCCAGATCTCCATCACCTTTCCACAAGCCTTCCCAAGTAAGTGTACACTCTACCTGAACACACCATGTTGCAGACTGGTTTCTGGAGCCTGGAGGGGGTCTGCTCCCTGCTTTCTCGGCCTCCGGTGGCTGCCAGTTTACCTGATCGATTTCTAGGAGGTCTCCAATAGCCTGAGGGACGACCATATTGGCTGTGAAAACAGCTTCCATTCATGACCGCTCCCCGCTCCCCGGTGGAAGATGCTGGGCAGAGGCCCCTCTTAACACACGGATGAGCTACGCAGCTCAGGCCTTCCCCCACACGATGTCAGCTTCATCCAGAGGGCAAACAGCGATGGGTCAAGGCCTCAGGAGTAGCCTTGCCCTGAGGCTAGAACAGCAAAGGGTGCCACCAAGTCACCAAGTTCAGCCCCAGCTGCTCTGTAAGCATGCTGAAGGCAGAAGTTCTGCCCTCTGTCTTGGGTTTCTCTTATAGTGTCTCCAGCAGAGAGACTCGGAGAGCCCTGCTGAGTCGCGGGAGTCAGAGGCTTGGGCTTGCAATTGGCTGGACGTGCACTTTTGACAGGTCTCAGGGAGTCTGTATGATGTTTTCTTTATTCACAAGAGGAGTGACCTGCAGACCTCAGAGTTGTCATGTTGTAATGAGATCAAAAGCTTCTGAGGCTTTAGTAGAGTTTATGATTGGCCCGGACTCCTCCGCTAACTAGCACTGTGTCTGGTGACCCTGAGCTGAGATGCCAGGTGCAAACTCAGCAGCTTATCTTCATCTGTGAAAAACGCCAAGCATGAGAGCAGCTGTCGGGAGCTCATGCTGGTGGGTTTCATGAGTTAATAAAACCAAGGGCTGAGAAAGGTTTTTAGTGAAGAGGAGGTGCTGGGTTGCCAGCCCCGTCATTAACTAGCCCGGGGATTCCATGAAAGCTGGCAAATCCTCTGGGCCTGTCTTCTTATCTGCAAAATGAGGGGGTCTGGGATATATTGTACCAAGAGTCTTACACATTAATTTCCTTTGGCCTCCATGGTAAGTCGCCACAATTCAGCAGCCTGAAACAACAGATTCATTGCCTCACAGTTCTGAAGGTTAAGGTCTGGAATGGGTCTCTTGGCGCTAAAGCCATGAAGTTGCCAGGACTGGTTTCTGGAGGCTGCTCCTTGCTTTCTCAGCCTCCGGTGGCTGCCGATTTACATGCATTGATTTCTAGGAGGTCTCCAACAGCTTGAAGGACGACCATCCTGAGCTTGGCACCAACGGCAGTGACAGCCAAGACAACTGCCCCCAGACTCAGGTCCCTCGTGATGCGCCTGCTCCCTGAGCCTCCTTTTCTGAACCAGGGCAACGGTAGACACTGAGATCATAACACAATCTCCGTCAGGCGCCCAGGAGGTCTCTTACTGCAGCAACTGGAGGACGCCCCTGACTGGCCAGTGCAGGTCAAGAAAACCAGGAGTGGACCCGTGTTCTGGAGACCCAGGAAGACGCCCGTGTTCTTCATTTCTTTTCTACATGGCACTTAACAGACCTCAAATCTGGGAGGTACAACTAGGCAAATGTGCCACGGAGGAGGTCACAGGACACCATGACCATGACGGTGTCCCTGTGACCATGATCCCTCTGCCACCTTTTCCCACTCCTGGGCTCCTGAATATCTGGGAACTTGAATGTGAAGAATGTGATAGAAAATAAGTTTTTTTTTTTTTTAAATCAGAATCAGACCTTCTTTCCTCCTGGCTAAGCCACACATTTCCTAGAGCTTCTGCTACATGCGTCTCCCACGTTCTGATGTGCAGGATTCACAGCAGCACATCACCTCCACAGCAGGCCAGGGGCGGCACGTACAGTCAGGGGAAATGAGAGGCCACAGAAGAGCCGGCGTTTCCTTCCTCAGATTTAAATCTCAACAGTTCCCTTCTTACATCATGGAGGGGCGGCGTGGGGCATGGAGCGGGAAGCCTACCACTGCCTCCCTCTGCTGCTCTTTTCCACCGGGGTTGGCCGTGCTGCAGGCCTGGGCTGCAAGGGGCTGTTTCCTGTTGTGAATTGCTGCACTCCATCTTCTCTTTCATCATCTGCACACACATAAATGCCTGGAGTCAATTGCTTTGTGGAGTGTTATTCTCCTAAGGAAAATTTCCATCTGTGTTAAGTGCAGTTTCAATGTTTACTCTTCTTGAAGCCCGCGTTGCTATTAAATTTTCATAAGTCACAGAATTTCATGGTGGAAATGCACAGAATCTGCTAGGAATGACGTGACGTGTTAGAAGCGTACGGGGGAGAAGCACAATTATGTGGTCCTTTCCTCTCTTCCCCTCTAGTCATTTTCAATAAGTGGAGCTGGACGTTAGACCTGGGAGCCAGAGCCCGGCATGGCTGCTTCTGCCTGAAAGCCGTCCTGGGAGGTCAGAACTCCCTCCCACCCCTGGGCCAAGGGTGGAAACTGTGGGGCAGAGGCACCCAGACTTAGGAATGCCACACGGGAAGCGTGGTGTCACTGTGAGATAAATGCTCATGGAGCGCAGGAGGAAGAACAGAGGCAGCACAGAGCTGACTTGCCTCTCCGCCCCGTTGCACAAGAGGGCTCGCCCACGTTCTGGAACCCGCCGAGGTCTGGAAGCTAAGCACCGTGTGCTGCCTGTATGCATTACTGAACAAAGAGATCGGCTGTGTCACAAGCTTTACCTGGATAGGTGGCTTTATTTCATTTCCCCCACATGGTTCTGAGCATTTTACTAATAAAAAAGTGAAGTTGACGTTCTCTAAGTGATAGTTTCTAACACATGTTGTGGATTACCTATGCTTTACATAACTGTCATTTCACACTCCCAGGCCCATTTTGCAGACAGAGAAGCTCAGGTCCATAGAAATTCAGTAACTAGCCATGGGGACACACTTAGCAAGAGGCTGAGATGGGATTTGAACTCGATAACCTGGCTCTAGAGTGCCCACGTTTAATCACGGCCTATACCATCTCTTCACATTAAGGGGGGAAACCTTCCAGATGGCTGTGTAACTATTGTGTACCCTGCACATTCATGCTTCTGAAGTTTAGCAGTAATGGTCTATGTTAAAAGTATGTTCCATTAGCTTCAAAAAAGACAATAATTAAATAACCCAAAATGAGAAGTTGGACAGCCGTTAGAGAGTCGCCTTAGACAACATCATGTCCAATGCTTCATTTTATGTACATGAAGGCGACCCTCCTGGAGAGGAGGACCCACATCGGAGCTCGCTGTGCAGGTTGGGGGAGGAGGGCCAAGTCCTCCCCACCTGCTGCTGAACCTCGGTATCAAGGCTTCATGGGACTTCCAGGCCTACAATAGTTTTGGAAGGGGATTTTGGTGGAGCAGAAAGAGGCGGTCAGGAGGCTGGAGAAGGAGGACAGGGTCTGCCCTCTTCCAGTCGGGTGCAGCCCGCTCCTGCCCTCTGCTTCCTTCTCTTGATTCTTCCCAAACGGGCTTTTTCACGTTTCTGTCTCACTGAACAGCCCTTCCTTCTACCAGGTGCTCAGGGCAGAGACGAGGCCTCCCTGCTCCCCAGCCCAGCTCCTAGACCAGCTCCCACGTTCAAACAACCGCAGGTCCACTTGGCTCTACATCCGGGTCCCCTCCGAGCACTCCTCCCACTGGCCCGGGTGGCCCACCTGTTACTGGAGCTACTTCCACCCGCTCCTAATTGGTGTCCCCGATCCCCATGAGCCTCCCGTTAGATCCAACCACTCCTGCAAGTGAAGAGGAGGCGGGAAGTGAGGGTGTCAGGGGTGACTGACTTGCTGGGAGAGAGTTAAAGGGAACCATCTGGGAGATGAGCCTGAGTGACTCACGATGACAAGGCACAGAAGAAAGTGCCCATGCGTGGGGGTCAGGCTTCAGAAGCTGGAGACCCAGAAGATGCCCAGAGAAGCAGGTGTAGGAATCGGCGTGGTAGCAGCTGGTGCGGACTTGTGGGCTTGGCCATCCAATGTCTGTCCAAGAGCCCTCTAAACATACTGTCACTGGGAGGTGTCACCAAAGGGTTGCCCTCTCTTCTGGGACTAAGGACCCAGACACTTTAAGTTTTAGAATAATTTGTTAGGCAAATAGCCACCACTGACCTCAGTGGAGCAGGGCTGTCTCTAGAGGTCACGGTGGAGACGGACCAAGCCAGTTTTCTCTGTCGACTCCATCGGCCTATGGAGCAGCCTGGATTTAGACAGCAGGAAAATGTCAAGCAGTGGT